TCTTACTAGAGGCCCAGTGCATGAATTCGTGCACCAGTGGGGTCCCTCGGCCTGGCATGCAGGATTGGGCGGAAACCAGCTCTCTGACATTCCCTGAGGAGGGCGCAGGCCAGGCCGAGGGACCCCCACCGGTGCATGATTGGGGCCAGGGAGGGACACGGGAGGTTGGCCAGTTGAGGAGGGATTGTGGGAGGGCTCCAGGGTGTGTCTGGCCCGATTGGCTGGACCCCAGCAGCAAGCTCACCTACCAGTTGGAGTGTCTGCCCCCTGGTGGTCAGTGCACATCATAGTGACTGGTCAACCAGTCAACTGTCTGCCGCCTGGTGGTCAGTGCATGTCATAGCGAGCAGTTGAGCGGCCTTAGCATATAATTAGCATGTCACGCTTTGATTGGTTGAACAGACGACTGGACACTTAGCATATTGGGCTTTTATTATATCGGATATTTTTAATTTTTATTAAAAAATCTTTTAGGAATGTGTCAAATCTTTTTTTTATTTAGACCATCAAACATCCTTTAGAGCTGGGGGCTGGCAGAGGGTCAGCGCGAATGTCAGTTCCAGCCACCAGTGGCCAGTGACCACCTCCTGGGCTGCGGGACCCGAGCTCCCAGCGCCCTCACCACCCAGTGTCGGTGGCTGTCTTCTCCGTTGTCCTTAGTTTCATGACGGCTTTGCTTCCTCTCGTGGTATCAATGGTCACCCCTAGTTTTATCTCCTCTGTACCCATTCTTTCTGCAGATTCTACTATGACTTGAGATAGTAAAGTTTATGCATAGAGCTGCTACTAGCAAAGCTACCATTTTCTGAGGACCTGCTGTTTGCTAGGCACTGTGTGCGTCATAACCTATTTCATCCTTTTTAATCCTTACACAATGCTATGAATTAGGCATTTTGTCCACTTTATAGGTGAGGACACTGGGGCTCAAATTGTTTGTCCAAGTGTTGATACCAAGTGAACGGTGGAGGCGGGGTTGAGGGAGGCTCACACCACGTGGAGGTGGAGGCGGGGTTGAGGGAGGCTCACACCACGTGGAGGTGGAGGCGGGGTTGAGGGAGGCTCACACCACGTGGAGGCGGAGGCGGGGTTGAGGGAGGCTCACACCATGTGGAGGCGGAGGCGGGGTTGAGGGAGGCTCACACCATGTGGAGGTGGAGGCGGGGTTGAGGGAGGCTCACACCATGTGG